CTCTCCCTCTGTCCATCCCCCAGCCTGCATCGATACAGGGGCTGCCCTGAGCCACGGGCAGCATCTTGCACTGGCTCTTGTTAAACCTCAGGACATTGCCATGGGCCCACTTCTCCAGCTTGTCCAGGTCCCTCTGGATGGCATCAGGTGTGTCAACCACACCCCTCAGCTGGGGGTCAGCTGCAAATGCGCTGAGGGTGCACTCCATCCCTTCATCTGTCTCCTTAGTGAAGATAGGAAATAACACTGGTCCCAACACAGACCCCACTCTGATGGCACTGCTGTCCCTCAGGACTCTGAGCCATTGATCACCACCCCTGGATGGGACTGGTCACCCAGTTTCTTAATCCATCTAACAGTCCATGCATGGAATCCGCCTCTCTCCAGCTTAGAGAGAAGGATGTTGTGGGGGACTGTGCCAAAGGCTTTCCAGAATTACAGGCAAAGGACATCTGGAGCCCTTGGCCACTGATGCAGTCGCTCCATCTTAGAAGGCGACGAGGCTGGTCAAGCAGGACTTGCCCTTGGTGAAGCTGGGCTGGTGTCTCGAATCACCTCCCTGTCATCCCTGGGCCCTGACAGAGCTTCTAGAAGGATCTTTCCATGACCTTCCCAGGCACAGAGGGCAGCCTGACAGGTTGGCAGTTAGCAGGGCCCTCCTTTCTACCCGTTTTAAAGATGGGTACAGTGTGTTTCCCTTTTTCCCATCACCTGGGACTTCACATGTCTGTCATTTTTCAAGTATCAAGAAGAGTGTCTGGGCAACTACATCAGACCCTGTTGGCCTATGTAGGGCAATAATGCTGGTGAGAAGTAAAAGATGGATTTAGAAGGAAAATGCATGAAGAAAAAGGAGTCTCTTATTAACACTCCAAAAAAAGCGTGGACTTACCTTTGCAGTTCCTTTTTGAGGCATTTTCTGGTTCTCACTTCCTCCAGATACAGCTCTTTGTACATTTTAATTTCTCCCTGCGTTGCCTCTTTACAACAAGCACACTCTTGTTGGCTTTTTT